CCCCAAACCCCCAAAACCCCAAAACCCCAAAACCCCACGTTAGTGTTCAAAAGCTGAAAAATAAATCAATTATTAATAATTAGCTAAATTGTATTAAACATGGACAAGCTATGTTCTCTTTGTAAGAAGAACAAGAATGAAGAAGTCAAGGAAATACAAATATGTTTCGGTAAAGGAAGTGAAGAAGAAAATGAACATTTGGATGCAAGTAACAGAACAAGAACTTCTAAATACACCTATTATTCATGGCTACCATTGTCTATCCTCTTCCAGTTTACAAGGGCTGCGAATATATATTTCTTGGTTATCTCGATTCTCACCGCAATGCCTTTCTCTCCGAAAAGTCCAGGGTCAATGATAGGTACTTTCGTAGCTGTGCTGATCTTCACCAGTTTGAAAGAACTTTTTGAGGACGCCTTTAGGTGGATATCAGATCGAGAGGTAAACAATGCGAAAGCAATGGTGCTAGACCACAAAGAAAAGAAATTTGAAGAGAAATTATGGAAGAATATCAAACTAGGAGACATTATCAGTGTAGGAAAAGACGAAACCTTCCCATGTGATATGCTCTGCATCATCGCAAAGAAAGAAAACATAAATGTCGATACTATGAACCTTGACGGAGAAACAATGCTCAAGCCGAAGAAAGTACTTGATCAGAGAATATACAGCTTAGTTAAGGGTGAAGATAAAATCAGCCAGAGTGTCATGGGGGATGTAAAAGGTAACCAGGACAAGAATGGCACAGAAGAGAAGTTAAACATAGCTAAAGGTACGTTACGAATTATGGACAAAACGTCTCGATTCTCAAAAATTCGTCTTTTCAAAAATACTAAAGCGTATCCAAAATTTTGAAACACTAAATATAAAATCCTTTTTAACCAGTCATGCTTGTAATCCTAGTAGATAAATTTCTTGCTTCGAGCTACTAATTAAACCTCCCTCTTTGGTACAAACTTTTCTTAATACTCCTTTTGGATCTTTGCTGAGAGCTTTGCATTTGAACTAGTGATCTGTTACTCCTAATTATAATTTTTGTCTTCGCCTTCACCAATGTCAGGTGATCTGGTGTTTAAAGGCTAAAATAACCTATGGAATATAGCCAGAGCAGATGAATACGCTCCCCAACTTGCAAAGCTTAAGGGAAAAATTACTTGTAGCCCTCCCAATGAAGATATCGAGCATTGGGATGGAAAAGTTGATTGTGATGATCTTCCTGTCAGAGCAAACGAAAATAAAATTATTCTTGGTGACATAGACTCAATGCTCCTCAGAGGATGCTATTTGAGAAACACCTCTTACTGCGTCGGAATTGCTGTTCACCTTGGGAAAGAATCAAAAATTATGATGAATGCGAAAAAGCCACCAAGGAAGGTGTCTAACTTAATGAGACTGATGAATAAAATGCTTTATACAGTCTTCGGTTTTCAGCTCTTTATCATCAGTGTTTTTGCAACTTGTTCTGTCATTTGGACTGCCTCTAAAGGGAAGGATTATGATTATATTGATGAAGATGGGGACAACCCTACCTTTTGGACATGGATTATCCAACTGCTTACTTATTGGGTAGCTTATTCACATTTAATCCCAATCTCTCTTTATGTCATGATAGAAGTTCTAAAATTAGTGCAGGCTCTCTTTATTAAATGGGATCAAGATATAGGCGCCAATCCTGATGTCGATGAGAAAGCAGCTGAATGTAAGAACTCCGACCTTATTGAAGAGCTAGGTCAAGTAGACTTCATCTTCAGTGATAAAACAGGAACTCTCACTTGAAACCAAATGATTTTTAAGAGTTGTACGGTGGGAGGGAAAATATACACCGAAAAACCTTCAATACAAAATGGTGACCAAAATGAATCAAACGTTAAGGAAATGCATGAAAATTCATTATTTGCTAGAAACGAGCGCAAACCTCTTTACTGGATCGATGAGGTGAACAATAATAATGAAAAACTACAGGAATTCTTCAGCCATATGAGCATTTGCCATGCTGTTACAGTCGATATGGATAGTAAGCCAGATCCGGAGGAAGAAAGTAAAAACAAAGAGAGAAATGAATGTCCTATCTATCAATGCCAGTCTCCTGATGAACTAGCCCTGGTCAAAGCTTCACTGAAATGCGGAATAAAACTATGAGATACTAGGCGAGGAAGCTACTTCATTGAAGAGGAAGGAGTCACCACACAATACAAAGTTCTTGCAGAATTCAAATTTGACTCAGATAGAAAAAGAATGTCAGTCGTAGTGGAGACTGAAGATAATGAGTTCTATCTCTATACTAAAGGCGCTGACAACCAAATGATTTCACAAATAGACTTTAGTAATCCAGGAGAAAGGAGCGTGCTCGAAGAACACTTATATCAATTTGCTGTTGAAGGCCTCAGGACTCTCGTAATGGGAAAAAGACAGCTAACAAAGAGAGAGAAAGATGAAATTGTTGACGGAATCTATAAAATACAATCATCTCCAGCTGAGAATAAAGAAGAGAAATACTTCAAACTCTACTGCAAGCACGAAGTAAATCTTGAATACATCGGAGCATCTGCCATTGAGGACAAACTTCAGGACGAGGTCCCTGAAACAATTGAGAAACTGATGGATGCAAATATTAGAGTTTGGGTTCTGACTGGTGATAAACAAGAAACTGCAATCGAGATCGCCAAATCTTGTAGACTCATCCAAGAAGATATGAAAGACATCATACTCTCAGTAAGCATGAATGATCGTAGAAAGAAAATAAATGAAAGCGATGAGCAATTTGAAAAGAGAATTGCAGATGAAAAAGAAGTATACAAGAAAGAGCTCAGGAAGAATATACAAAAAGGTAAAAATATGATCCGTAATGATGTTCTTTATCACACAGAAAATGAAATATTTGCCCAACCCTTGAAGAACCTGAAAAACAAAGGCACTCAGATAACTCTAGTAATTGATGGGCCTACCCTTGGATTAATTCTTGAGGATGAGGAACTCGGTAACCTCTTCCTATCTTTGGGTCTCTACTCTAAATCTGTAGTCTGCTGCAGAGTAAGTCCTAAACAAAAATAGCCAAGTAGTGGCTATCGTCAACAAGGTAAAGCCAGGATGCATCAGGCTATCAATCGGAGATGGGGCCAACGACGTCCCCATGATCATGGAAGCTAACATTGGTGTAGGAATTAGAGGAAAAGAAGGAACTCAAGCAGTGAGATCATCTGATTACGCTATCAGTCAGTTCAAATATCTTGAAAAATTACTCCTCTTCCATGGAAGGTTAGGGTACAGAAGAGTATCCTGGATGGTTTGATACTACTTTTACAAGAACATTGTGCTTGTCTTCACAGAGATCTACTTTGCCTTCTTTAATGGGTTTTCAGGTCAGATATACTTCCTAGATTGGCTTCCAATGCTGTACAACTCCTTATGGACGAGCTTAACTTGTTTATTTGCATATGGAATCGAAAGAGATGTGGATTATGAAGTCAGCAGAAAGAACCCCAAGCTGTATGAGGCAGGACAACAGGATAAATATTTCTCTTTTTGGATCTTCTGGAAGTGGGTACTGTTTGCCATCTTCCATGGGATAATCACATTCTTCGGTAGCACATATGGATTCAGAGGAATCATAGATAATGATGGGAAAACTGAGGATTTCTGGTTTGCATCAACAATTGCTTTCTCATCGATCATTCATCTTGTCACTTGGAAACTTGCTCTTGAGCTAAACTTCTTGAACTGGGTGGTTCTTTTCGCTGGTATAGCAAGTATAATTTTCTATTGGCTCTTCGTTATAGTATTTAATACGGCCTTCTTCTCACAGTTGATACAACCAGAGCTGGAGAATGTTTATTTCAGGATACTTGGAAATTCAAAAGCTTGGATAGTAATCCTATTCTTGCCTCTGGTCGCTCTGCTGCCAGATATTACTGTTAAATATGTCTGGAAGCTCTATCGCCCTGATGACAGTGACAAAATAGTTGCCAGTTCATTTAATCGAGAAGGAAGTTATGTCCAAAGTTGGATAAACGTAAGATTTCATCATCCTTAAATTTAAACAAATTCTAAAATGTCTTATAGAAATCTGAGGGTAGCACTCATATTTCAGACGAATTCGCTGCTAATAAAAGAGTAGTAGGAAGACCTGTCCAGGAGTTCAATCATATAAGTAATGAAGACTTATAATTATCAACAATTTAAAAAATTCTTCAAATTATGTTCATTTCTACTTCTGGGGACAAACCAGATTCCGTGTTTTGTAGTTTAGGCTTGAGAAAGGCTAAATGAAAGTTTATCATAAACAAAGTTATCCCCATTTCTCCTGATAGATAATTCAACTTAGAATTCTCATAGTGGGGTTTTGGGGTTTTGGGGTTTTGGGGTTTTGGGGTTTTGGG